GTTCAATATCGTGTTTAATGTTTCATCCGAAAGTCGAGTTCTCAAATGAGTGTAAACCATTGCAAAACTACAAAAATCTTGTTCAACTTTAACCTGAGAAAATGCAGTACCAAAAATAACTTGAGAAATCTTATAGAGTTCCTTCCAATTATAATCATCAGGTTTTAAATGCCAATATTCAAGAATATTAAAAATTTCATTTACTCTTATATATGGCTTTCTCTACAAAACTTTTGTTATTTGCTGATAAGTTCTTGTATTTGTCTCAACATGTATGGCTTGACGTTGACCTCCTCCTTAAAGAAAATAGATTAGTTATTAGTTATTTATCAAGCAACAAATTTTATCTAATTTATTTGATTAAATTCAATTAAATTAATAAGATATATAAAAGCTTTGAAAAATAAACTTACATGTAAATCAATAAAATGTTGTACTTATTTTTAGTTGGATTTTTGAAATATAAAAGTAATAAGTGGTATTGAGTTTTTATCAATTTAATAATAAAGTAATATAAAAGTAATATGTGGTATCGAGTTTTTATCAATTTGCAATAAAAACTTTAGAATACAAAATAAATTTTTTTTTTATTGTTTAAACTATTTAATAAAAATTTTATTTAAATCATTAGACATCAAATAATGATTAAGTTTCAACTATTAAATACTATTGAAATACCTGAAAGTTGTTTCAAACGGTTTTCATCTTTATCTTGTAGATTTTCATCCTGTCGAGCTATTTCAGCAAATTCTATTTGTGATTTTATAAAATAATGAACTTTAAGTAGGTGATTTACTCCACGACTTCTCAATAAATTGTTAAAGGCTTAATGACCAGCAGTACTCCATGCAAAATGAGGATCCGATAAGAATGCAACAATGAAAGCATCGCCCTTTTTTTTCAATTGTTTTTTCATCGGGAATTTTTCCAAGTTCATTACCATTCTCGTCCATCATAAAAAGAAGTCCGACATGGTATAGTTTGATCTTTGAAAATCTTTCATTGTAAAAAGAAATTGGTTCATATACTTAAGTATATTCTTCAATAAATTTCCAGATTTCATCATTTAAGTTTACGTTGCGGTTATTTCAATTTATCCCAATCTTTTCATATAAAGCAAATTTTTTTAAAATGTCTGATACCTTAATATACGTACTACCCTATCTCGGAGCAATATCTTTGTGTGATCTCTTAGGATTAGCAAACATTGCATCATATTTAGGCGCTCGTGTTTTTTTTTAATGATTTTTCTTATTTCAGAAAAAGAGGATTCAAACGGCTTAGTAACGTCTTTAGCAGCTAATTGGCTAACGTGCGCTCCACAAAACATCTGGTGCAGATTGTACCAATATTGTTTTCTAACACATTTAACATTCTCCCATGTTCTAGAGTTTGTGATTGTCTTTCACTTTTGTTATCTGTATTTTTGGAATTTTCAACAAGTTCTTCTTTGAGATTGACTCCATCAAGAAAATTAAAACCTTCAAAATCAAACTTTTGTGTTTCCTCGACAAATTCATAACAAATAATCATTCGATTTTACATTTCTTTGATGCCATCAGAAGCTTTAATCATGTTCTTACCTTAATCTGAACAACTTGAGTAAATATCGTCGACTCGTTTTCCTACTTTCGCAAGCATAGTAATTAGCTGGTGGGCTAAAACTGTCCCAAATTGCCATCCGTGCTGAGTGAGCATTCCCAAAGTTCGATCATACAGTTTTCCGTCTTTTGTAAACCGAATACTTTGAGAAAAAACATTCGTATTGAGACGAGACGCTGAATCAAATATTAATGATGGATATTCACTTCTATGACTTTTCCAATAATTTCATAAATTTGATTAGCAGCTTTAAAAATAAATACTTTTGCATTCTGACCACTCCATGTCACACCAAAAGCTTTTCTTATTATTTCATTCTTCCCCATGCCATCAGCAACCGTTTTTGGCAAATTTCAATTAGAATTGACTTTACAAAATCTCTTACTGTATTGTTAATATCAAAGTCATAGTTAACCGTTCTACGAGAAACAAAAATAGCATTTTTTTCAACATAATCATGATATTTGATTTGAGCACTTTTTCTTTTAAAAGTTCCAAGTTCTATGGTAATATCCTTGTGCTTTGAATGCAAATGATTTTTAAGGTGAGAAACATTACCGGCAAGAATTAAGTTTTTTTCTATGCACACTTTGCATTTCTATTTCTTATTTTCAGTTACTTCAAAATATTCTTTAATTCGTTCGTTTTGCATCTTACTTTATATGCAGCTTAAAATGTTGTAACAAATTCTCAGAAAAAAAGTTACTTTTCTGAGAAAGTCATTCTTATTACTTGCTATTAATGACTTTATCTTTAACTAAAGGCAAGTTAATGTAATTGATAAAGCTTCCATAATAATTTACATCTTATGCTTTATTATCAATTAAAAATACCTTAAAATCTAAAGCACTCATAATTGTATTTAGTTGTGAATATGACAAGGTTTGTTAACGTTATATCCAAATATTTGCGGTATATCAAACATTTCTTTCGGAATCACGTAACCAAAAAACAGTATTAATTTAATACTAGTTAACACTTCTAAGATTGCTGTTTGTTTCAATCTGTTTACAAAAAGCAGGTAGTATTTATTTAATGCAAATAAGTCAATAGTATTGACAAAATACAACGTCGTCGCAAAATACATTTATACGTGGAAAGTCAAAATCTTAAGAAAATAAAAAAATAAAATAAAGTTTTTTACTGTAGAATAAAAAAAAGTAAAACTAGTGAAAAAAAAGATATAAAGAAAAGGTGAATAAAAATATAAAATAAAATTTTTTACTGGGTAATAAAAATTTATCATTAATAAAAAACAAAGTACTAAAATTCGCATAGTACACCGGAATTTAAAGAAGTAAAAAATATTTTAATACATTTTGAAAAAAAGAGTTTATAGCAAATAATTAAATATATGTCACTTAAGACCAAAAAATATTTTTGTTACAAGATTTTTGCTTGAAGAAGGTGTTAGTTCTGCAATTCTTTACTTAGATGATAGTAAGTACGGTCTTAAATAACAGAATTTTTACTTTCCTTAACGTAAAATTTGACTTGAAAAGTTTATTGGCATTTCATAAAAAGGATACAAATCGTTTAAAAATTATGCATAAAAAAGATGGTGTCAAAGTTAAAGAAAGAATATCATGCTTATTATACTTAGCATACAATTGCTAAATTTAAAAGCTTAAGCATTACTATAACTTCAAAAGACGTGTTGCAAGTGGAGTTATTAAAGCTTTATTTTAACGTAATTTTGAAAATTTTCTGCTATTTTATGAAAGATTCGCATATTAAGCAATATTTACGTTGTATGATATATATTAACTAATTTGAATCAAATGGTGGCTTTTAAATATTTGTTACAAATCTGAACATTTTTTTTTTTTTTTTTGTAGTCATCCTCCTTAAATTTTAAATTTTATTCATTTTGTATTGTAAAAATAATTGAAAAATACTACCATCTTAAAAAATTAACAAATTTAGTTTAGTTTGATGTCAGCTTATATTATTTTTCAAATGATAAAAACTTTTACGAAAGTTAAATTTTTTTTGAAAATATTTTTTTTTGCAATCAAATTTTTAGGTTGTGTTCATATGAAGAGTTTTTACCCCGCCTTAGCGGGAACCCGGTGTTTCATAGGCAAGACCTTGCCTAGGCAGAATATGAATTTTACATACGAACGCAGTATTAAAATTGTATGAGTTTTAAAGGAGAGGCTAGATCTCAGTGGGTTTTTTTTATCTCAGTTAGGCGGGATGATATTTATCTATATGCACAGCACCTAAAGCGCGTTTTTCGTTTTCAATTTTGTAGCAAAAAACTTTGTTATCAATAAAAAATTTTTAAAGTTTGGATTATTGGAAAAAGTTCAATTCAAACCGACATCAAAATAAATTAATTTTTATCAATTCTTAATAATATTAAAAGATGTTGTTTTTTTCAAATATTTTTACAATATATATTGATAATTTAATGTTGTGGTCCAATACTTAAGTTTAGGCGTGACGTAAGGACGACAAAATATCAAACATTGATCAAAAACTGACCATTTAATTATTATCATAAACTTTTTTTTTTGACTTTATTGCTTAAGGCATGTAAACAACCTCTCTAACAAAATAATATATATATTTTTTTAATTTATTAAATAGTTAATACATCATATCATAAAACAAACTTTGATGTAAAGTATATAAAATTGGTTTCTAGTTAATATTTAATTGCTTTATAGCAAACGAGCAATTATTTTTCATTAAATTTGCTGGCGGGAGGTGTATATTTCCGCTCTCAATATGACGGCCGCAGCCAAAATCGATTGGAGGGGGCCACCATTGGCTTCCGCCTCTCTATTGGCGTCAGCCTCCAAAACATTTTGCCTCCAAAAAAAAACTCTAACTGCGGCCGCAAATACAAAAACGAAAGCCACTGCACGCGAAAGAAAAAACTTATTGCCGCTAAAAATTGATCGGGAGGCCGCTTCCAACAGCTCCCGCCTTTCTAAAAAATTAGCCTTTTGGCAGAAAGTTATTTTGCTGCCGGGCGGCATTATTATCTCTGACAAAAACTAATACTTTTTACACCCATTTTAAGTAAAATGATAATAATATCTACAAAAATATTGAAGAAACATATTTACTATAGAGAACATAATAGTACTTTTACCTTCATATATATGTATATAAACATAAGTAATACTGAAAGAAATAATTTTTCATAAATAGTGTTACTATTAAAGAAAGCCTAGACAAATTTGTTCTAAATATAGCAATAAGTTAGTAAACCTTTTTTTTAAACTTAAAAGCTTGTTTTTAATAACTCATATAACCAAACTGCGAAAAAAAATTTAAAACAATTAATAAAGTAGGCTTGCTTTTTAAATATATTTAAAAACCATTACAGACCAAAGTTATTGACAATGTTTATAGTATATGTTTAGCAAAAAAACTTAACATACCCAAGTTATTTTCAATATTATTTAGTTCATCTTCTACATCATATAAATTGCCGCGTAACCATTTCAATGCTTGACAGGCTTCATACCGCTTTTTTTTAGCAAGCAGCCATCTAGGAGACTCTGGAATGTATAAAATTAAAATCCCCATGACTAATGCAACAATAAGAGCTGCTGTAGCTGATTGTTTGATGTTGCAGTATGAACCTACTAAAAAAGCTAAAAATATCCCAACTGTTATACCAATCTGATTTATGGCTTCTAATCTTCCGCGAAATTGAAATGATGAAACTTCCGCAATGTATATCTAAATTGTAAAAAATATCAAAAAATGTATTCTGCAATGTATATCTAAATTCTAAAAAATATCTAAAAAATGTATTCCGCAATGTATATCTAAATTGTAAACATGACCTTAACTAGCAGAGTACTTTAATGAGACATTACCATTTATTTTAAGAAATTTTTATTTTAATTCATGTAGAAACCTTTATTGTAAAAAACCTACTTGGCAAACAAAAATAAACTAAAAATTTCGTTGCACAAAGAAACCTTTTGAATGTATTGTATTTTTAAAAATTAAATTCGGTATAGCTTACATACAGGGACAGTTAGTGAACAAAAGCCGCAAGCAACCCCTGTCAATCTTCTACCAACGTACAATATTGTTTCATTCAAAAAATAGCCAATTAAAATCCATCATAAAGTGTAAAGTAAAACCGCCAACAATACCCCACGTTTTCTTTCGGAATGTTCAACGCAGAATAATCCAACAAACAATCCAGCCAAAATGCTAAGTGAAAGCAGAGACTAAAAAAACAGAAAAAAAAATGGTCAATATTTTTTGGGATTTTTCATAAATTATGACACGCTTTGGGAAATAGTGAGGGTTGGAAAGAGGAGTTAATGGTTTTGTGTCGTCGGTAATATAGAGTTAAGATGTTGTAACCAGTTTGAAAGAATGGGTGAAAAACGATTAAAAGTTGCGTGCCTTTATTTGTGGAAGACCCCTTAAATAAAACCTGTGGCAACCTCTGATGAAATATTTAAAGCGTATTAAATATATATAAGTATTAAAGCGTATATATAAGTTTAAGTTAAAAAAAAATATTTTAAATTTTTTTATCCTTACTTTCATAAAAGTTTTTATGCTAAAGTTTCGAATATCTAATGTTTGACCTCCTTAAGGTTATGCTTTTTGATAATAATATTTGATAAGTATTAGTCCAAATAAGATAGAATTGGAAATACCTAAAGCTCTTAAATTTTGCCGATATTGTTTTTATGGTATAATAAAGGTAATTTAGTTTGAAGTCATTGGTATTTCAAAAAAAAACTTAAAAATCAATAGCGTCCCTTGCACAGAGAAGAGTTTTTAATGACACTAACAAGGTTGCGCTTTGGTTTGTTAAATTATAACGGGACTGATTGTTTTTATTTAATGAAGTTTTGTGAATGTTTAATCATAAGGATGATACTATTTTATTGTAAACAGATTATTGATACTAAACGCCAGTTTTGATAAATGGTCTTTTAATAACAAGAAATTAAAAACAACTTTGTCAATTCAAATAAAAGACAAACAGGAAATAGTAAATAAAAATTAAAAAAAACAGTATGGTTTCAACAACAAACTTGGCTTGTTAAGTAAATAGTTTAATACTGCCTATGTTTTATCATCGGTCATATTTTTTAGCATTTTTCATACCTATTTTGTAAATAAAAATAACTCTAGAAAAGATGTCTATCAATTGATATTACAACTTATTGTTTGCAAGATTATTTAAAATCGATCTCCAAGAATGCTTGTATTATCTTTAGAAGCGAAACTAAAGGATAACTTTTTAAAATCATCTTAATAAATATCGCACCACAGGCAAATGTGTTTTAGAAAAAATAGAAAAACATTTAGGCCCACCACCTCAAATTTTTATTAAATTTGAGTTCTTATTTTTCTCTATAAAAATACGCTGTTGCCTTCAAATAAGAACTAACTCAAAGCTTAATTTTTTATACCATACTATTAAAATTTTTTAAGTTAAGTTTTATGCTTGAAGGTTTTAAACGCCCTTTGAAAAGTCAATAAAGATCCCCAGAATAAGTTTTTAATTATAAACGATTTGCTAATCCTGTATTTAAGATCATAAACTGCAGGCTTTTGAGTGTCGCTTTTGTAAACTTAATTGATTTTTTTTTACAACTTTGTTAGCATTTAAGTATTTATATACTCTAATTTAGACTATTCTTTCAAGATGTTTTGAAAATACAGAAATGATTAAGATTAGCCTATAGTTGCTTAAAATGATGTAAAATGTTATAACTTTTAAAAAATTTTATTTTTCTATGATACCTGTTTGAACGATACACTGGAAATAAAGATTATGCATCTTCCCAAAACCATCTAGTACAAATTTAAAAAAGATCTCATCATTACCTGGGGATTTGATACTTTTGAGAGATTTAGACGCTATTTTGAGTTCAATTTGTGAAGTTGTTGCCGTTTAAGGAACAGTGAGAAATAAGTAACTTTTAAATGAAATTGGTGGGCATTGCTTTTTAGATGCAAGATTAACAAGTGTCAAAGTAGAAGTTAAAGTTGATGGCAAGAATTTAAATTTTTGAGTTGAAGGCTCATCAATGATTTGTTCGAAACATAACAATTTGTTGTGGCAAATTGAGACAAAAAATAAGATATAGAAAAATAGTTTGAAATAACCGTTTTAACTATTCCTGATTTTAGAAAAGTATTTTGTATTGAGTTTGTGAATACATTGTCATTAGCAGTAATGGAATTAGAAGTTACCATGGTTGGTTTATTAGTGGTAGGAAATATACCGACCTAATGCTATTTGTTTTTGAACTTTTAAGTGGTAGCATATTATTTTGCTTTAATATATTAATGGTAGTATCTACTTTTATAAAAAAAATTTTTATATTAATTTTCTTTACATTGATATATATTTTGTAATGCGAAAATTTATATTACTATTGGGCAGTGTATAGCTTGTAGAAACTAGAAAGTTTTTTGACGCAGTTTTGATCATTTCCATTATATAGAACCTCACGAGCGCGATAAGAGTTTGACAGATCTTTACTAAACTTGAAGTTTTGAGCATTCTGAAAATAGGATATTATTCCTCCTTCCAAGTTTCTGTATAGCAGATCATAATCAAGGTATGTTTGCATTCAAGGAAAAATTATTTTAGTTTGTCTGTATTTATGATGAAAGGTTTAATATTTTTGTGTGCTGCCGTACACATAATGCGTAGATTTTAGTGGGCATCTAGGAGAATTGTTTCACAAAAACGCTCCGGATTAAATTATGTTGACAGGATATTAATTCATAACAGATGGGTAAAAATGTGTTTTTATGTTATTTTTAATTTATGCTTCATGTTAGAATAATGGGTCTGTACTTTGTAACTAGTTTTTTGTTACCTTTTCTAAAATTTCGTATAATATATGAATCTTTCCAGAATTTAAGTACTGTACTACTTAAAAAGAATTTAGTATAAAAATAGAGAGATGTTTAGAAATTTAGTACTGCTGGATTAAAGTTGGAAGTAGGGCCCCAGGCTCGCGGTTTTAGGAACTCCAATTCAATATAATTTATTTTTCAAAATAAAATTGAAAAATAAAGTCTTTTAAGTAAAGACATGGAAAAGGGTCTTCTGGTTTAAAATAGCCCTGGGCCCTTATATGTATTAATATGTCGCTAAACTTTGGCAAAAAGAATTTTTAATTATTTTGATATGAAACTCATCTGAACTCTGTGATTTGAACTACTTACAGAAAAGTAATAAGAATTAATGTTTCTAGGAGATATATCAAGATTACTTAGGATTACTTTAAGGTTTGATTAGGGCAGAAGATAAGTTAAATCATCAAACAATAATTGTATCTTTAACTAACAAAATAATTGTTTAAGAATTGAGCTACTTTGAGATAAGTAGCAAGATTCATATTGTGCACTACTTTACGAATAAACACTTTTTAATTTAAGTATGAGAAAAAAGCATTAGATTATTTGTTGACGGTTTCGGCAGTTTCTTTTTCGAAGTTTAATGAAAAAAACTTTACCTTTTAATAATGAAAAAGATTTAATTTTTCTTTGGGTTAAATTAAGAAAAATTCGGGTAATTCAAACCTTCAACAATAGGCATGTTTGAGATTTTTTCTGAAAGGTTTGTTATATATTATTCTTCAGATCTAGTTTCTAAATGAAAAGTTTTCAGTTAAAAATGGATTTAAATTGAATATTTGTAAATAATCAATGCTGAGATGGTGGAGATTAGCTATTTTATTTAATGGGTCAACTTAAATTAAAAAATTTACTTAACTTGAAAAATAACACATAACTAATAGTAATAAATAAATATGAAAAAAAGAATATAATTGCTTATAGTTATTACTTCTTTTAACGCTGCTGCTGCCGCTATTATCCATTCGTGCTCCTTTGTCACGGAGTTTTTGCCAGAATTTGGCCGAGTTTTTTTATACTTGGCTGAGTTTTTACCATTCTTGGCCTTTTATTATTTCTCTTTATGTTTTTGACCACGCGATAAAGTATAATATAAAGTATAATATAAAGTTTTTGACCACGCAATTAAGTAAGTAAGTCTTTATAATCTGTTAATATCTGTATAATCAGTAAAAAGATCGAAAACTTAGCTTTATCAGCTTAATTAGTAATAAGTTCGAAAAGTTTTTTACTTGATAATATGTAGCAAGGAACAAAATTTCAAGTATTTTTTGGTTTGGTTTGATAAAATTTTAAGGTTTTCTCCGAAATACTATTTTATTGTTTTATATATATATATATATGCATGTTATTAAAGCACAGAGCAATAATAAACTTAATTAAATGAATTTTATATAAATATATATATATATATATATATATATATATATATATATATATATATATATATATATATATATATATATATATATATATATATATATATATATATATATATATATATATATATATATATATATATATACGTATAAATACATATAAAGAGAGAGAGAGAGACTTTTATTTTTCTTCATTATATTATTGATCTTTTTTCTTATAAATGTTTGTATATATATATATATATATATATATATATATATATATATATATATATATATATATATATATATATATATATATATATATATATATATATATATATATATATATATATATATACATATAAATATATATATATATATATATATATATATATATATATATATATATATATATATATATATATATATATATACATATACATATATTAATATATATATATATAT